AATTTTATATTAACAAAAAATATATTAAAAATTAATTATTTACAAATTTTTATAATATAGCACATACACAATTTATCTTTATAAAATAAAAATTTGCAAATTAAAAAAATTAACAGATAGATTTAAATTTCATTTTTTTAATTGTATTCTCAAAAAAAAACAAAACAAAGAAATGGAACTAACTTAAAATGAAAAAGAAAAATTTAATGAATATCAGAATTAGTTATTTCTATTAAAAAACTAAAGAACACTACAAGAAACCATAAAGAAAAACTTAAAATTATCAAATAATTAATAAAAAATTGATATTTAAAATTAAGTTAAATGTATTTTTGAATTATAATATGATAATGAAGAAAATAAAAAATCAGTACGAAATTTGCTTTAATAATCCAAAAATTTTTATTAAAATAACATAAAATAAATAAATAAATAAAAAAGTTATCATCCAAAAATAGAGTGTTTTACTTTTGCAAATAATACGTAAAATGAAATGAATTCAAATGAATCAATTTAATAAATTTAAAAAGAAAGTAAATAGATTAATATTGGCTAAATATAGATAAGTAAAAATGAAAATAATGTAAACACAGTTGATAATATGAAATATTTCAATAATCCAATTCATTTTACAAATAATAATGATCAAAGTATATAATTTAAAAATTTAGATTAAAATATGTTTTGTTAATAATTTGATGTATTAACTAAAAATTAATAAATAAATTAAAAAAATAAGATAAATAATAAAAATATTTATATAAATAGAAATAATTATTAATTTGATTAAATTATAAATAATCATAATTAATATAACAGAATAAAAATTATTGGCATTAATAATTGTGTTTAGTATTTATAATAATAGCAAAATCTTTAAATATTTAAAGATTTTAATAATTAGTTTTTTGAAAACGAAAACAATTACTAAACTTTTAATGATAATTAGAATTAGAATAATAATAATAACATTAACATTAATAATACTAATAGTAATCAAAATAATAATAGTTATTATAATAATAACAATCTTAATAATACATATAACAATATTTGTTAATAATCAAGTAAATAATATTAATACTAAGGTCTTAGAAATATAAATGATTCTAATAATAAAATTAAAAAAAAGAAATGTTTCTGTTAAAAATGTATGATTAGATATTAATATGAAAATAAAAATAACATTAACAAATATTTATTAAATATTAATAATTCTAATATAAAAAAATAAATGGATTTAAATTTATAATAACCTAATAAAAAATAAAAATAAAAAAATAAATTTATTTCTGAGTTAAATACTATTTAAAACATTTAAAAATTAATTGAGGAAATAATGGAATAATAACATACTTAATATTGTAAAAGGTTTAAAAGATAATTAAATAAATCATTTAATTTATGAAAAAAAGTGTCATGAAATATATAAATATAATAAAAAATTAAATATTTATCAAAATATATATTTTATAATTAATAATAGAAAATCTAAATTTTTTTCAATAAAATAATAGCAAAAAATTAATATTATAAATATTTAATGTTAATATAAAAAGCAATAAAAAACGAGCCTTGGGAAGTAGAAACTCCATGGGAATGGATTCCTTCAGAAAAGCGAAAAACAAAAGAAAAAATGAAAATTATAAAAGGAAATGAAAATTCATTAGAAAAAATAAAAACAATTTTTTAAATGAATCAATCTTAAATATTATATGAATAAAACTTAATATAATAAATAGGTGATTCTTTAATAATAAGAAAAGCAAATTTTAATGAATAAATGAAAAACAGCAAAAGAGAAATACATTTTATGAATAAAATACCTCATTATTAAACAGAAAGTGAAAATAAAAAAAGAAATGCTAATTTTATGAGATTTGAATAATAGTTTTTATAAAAATAAAAAAATAGGTCTTTATCTTTTAAAAAATTTAATAAAATTAATATTGAACTCGATCCATTTGTTGAAGAAAAATTAAAAAAAAAAAAAAAAAAATTTGAAGAAAAGTAAAAAGAAGTTCTTTAATAATAAAGAGAGTCTGCAAAAATATAATAAGAAATTAACAAATTATTTGATGATAAAAATAAAATTTTTAAATAAGAGAAAAAGCCTAATGAGTTTTTAGATTTAAGAAACATCATTAGATAAAATATTAATAAATTTTTGAAAAAAGTATTTAAAAATATTATATTTATACTTTTTTTATTCATTTAATAATATAGCCTAATTAAAATAAATTTTAAAATGAACATATTAATAACTAAAGTTAAGTTTTTTCAAATATTTTAAATGATTTGGAATAATCTAATTAATTTTAAAGTAGTGAAAAAAATGCAGAGCAGATAATATTTGAATCAGAAATAGCTAATATAGGCGATTAAGCTATTGCTATTAATGGTGAAAACAAAATTTTTCTAACTTCAGAAAAAATGGAAATTGTTTTAAAATAAATTGTAAAAGTAAAAAATGAATTTTTAATTTCGAAAAAAGCAAAAGTATATTTTATTTTATTTTAACAAAAAAAAACATTTAAATTAAAAACACAAATTAGATTATGGAAGAGTTAATTACATAAGTAGATTTAGGAGAAGAAGAACTTTTTGTGAATAATTTTAAATAAAACATACAAGTAAATAATAAATAAGAAGAAGAAATATAAATTGAAGAAAAGAAAGAATAAGTAGAAATTGAAATGATTAATTAAGATTAAAAAGAATTAAATAATTCGAACGATGAAAGTAAATAATTATGGAAAAAGTAAATTATTTAAGGTGCTTTTAGAAATTTTTTGGATAATAAAAATAATTTTGATCATAAAAAATTTTTAAAAGATATTGATGAAAATGTTTAATAAAAAAACAAAGAAAAAATAAACGAAGAATTGAAAAAAAATCAAGAAAAAATTGAAAAAAAGATATAAAATATAAAAAATTATAAAAATCAATAAAATAATAATAATAATTAAATATCTAATAATAAACTTTAGTAAAAAGTTAATTAAGTAAATAAAAAATTTAATAAATCAATAAAATAAATTAAAGATATTATTTTATTATCTAAAAAGAGTAAAATTTATATCTTTTATAATAAGTTATATTTTTTTTTTTTTATATTTCTAAATAAAGATGAATTAAAAATTGAAAATACTTAAAAAGAAGAAATATAAATTAACAAAAAAAAAATAATTTAGAATATTAATAATAAAAAAATAAATTTTTAATTTTAATTAATGGAAAAAGTATAATAAATAAACTAAAAATGAAAATTTGTTTAATATTTAAATAATAAAAAAAAAAATTAATATTTTAAATAGAAATAATAAATCCTTTTATAATAAAATTATAATATCTTTTTATTATATTTACAAAAGATAAACTATTAATTTAATAAGTGAATAACAAATAAATTTTATTAATATTTAAGAAAATAAAATATGTATTTATAAAAATAAATGTTGTATATGATATATTATTTGTTATCTGTATTATTATGTCAATAATCAAATTATTTTAACTTATTATTTTAAAAGACTGAAATAAAAGTATATTCTTCATTTTCATTTGAATTAGCTTACCAAGAATACATACTCTATGTTCCAATTAACAAATGCCAAATTCCATGATAAATTCTTAAATAGTCATTGCTTTCGTTTTGAGATTTACCAAAAAAGACAAAGGCTAATAAAAGCATTATTCCAGTTATTTTAGACATTTTTTAATTTTTGAAACAAACAGTATTTAATTTCAATTTATAATAATAAATTATGATTGCATAAATTATAATAGGGGCAACAGTGAACTTTAAATTCCATGGATCAATAAATTAAAGAATAATCACTAAAGATAAAGATGAGTAATGTATATTGCTTAAAATAAGTCCATTAGGAATATTTGCAATATGGGCAAAAAGATTAATAAAACATAAAATGGATCCAATATTATCTTTTAATTTAAAAAAAAATAAATTTTTTTGTTTAAAAAAAACCTAATTAATGCCATTCCCCTTCTGTCATAAATATTTTTTTTGCTCCTATTGATTCAGTAAAATGATACATAAATGAAGTTATAAATGTAAACAATCCAATATGAAATTGATAGAGCAATTTTTTTCTATATAACAGTATTAACGAAGGAATACATGAGAAATTTGTTATTGCTGTTATTAAAACCATTAAAATTATTTCAATAAAATTATGTTCATATTTATTTTTTTATTCGAATTCAAAGTAATAATCTACACCCATTATTTTTTTTTTAAAAAATTTTTTTTCTAAAAATATAAAATTATATTAAATATTTTAAAAAATTAAATAAAAACATGTGTTAATATAAAAACTACATAATTTTTATATTTTTTTTAACAAAAAATTATTAAATATATATAAATATAAATATATATATATATATATATATATATATATATATTTTAACTTTTATAAAAATTTTATCAAAAATATTTTAACTATCTTCTAAATTTAATAAAAACATATAAAATATATTTTAATGTTTCTACTTAGTTTTTAAAATTTGCTTCTTTTAACATTCTGTGCTTATATTCAATGTTTTAAAAGAACAATATTAAACGACTATTAATATTTATTGGGAAGAAAGTGCTATTCAACAAATCATACATTAAATGTTTTATATTCAAAAGATCATAAATTCATATATGATTACAATAATAATTAAAATAATTATAATAAAATATTTTTATAATATTATGGATATAATGAAGATTATATTATAGATGAAACTAAGTTATTAGGTAATGGGACATTTGGATATGTATATTAAGGAACATCTATAAAAAATGAAACAGTAGCTATAAAAGAAATAACTAATTTTAAATGGGATAAAGATTATTAAGAAATATATATTTTATTATATTTAAATCCATTACCAAACATAGGACATTTAAAGGATGTACTCAAAAAAAATAGCTCGACTTCTTTAGTATTTTTTTAAAAAAATTACACTAAAAATATCTTTAAATTTAGGTATTTGAATTTGTAAATGGAACTTCTTTAACTAAGACATCATCAAATATAACAGATGATAATGATGTTAGAATTTTTAGTTATCGCTTATTGAAAGTAATTAATTATAATAAAGAATGTTATTTAATATATATCTACTTACTTTTTTTAAAAAAAAATTAGGCTGTTTCTGAATTACATGATTATGGAATTATACATAATGACTTAAAAGGAGCAAATATATTACTTAATCATGAAAACAAAAAATTGAAATTAATAGATTTTGGTTTATCTTATATGTATAATCCATAATTAATAAGAACATCAACTGTAAATTTTATATTATTCTTTGATTATTTACATTTATTTAGATATATTTTCTCATTTAAAAAATAATAGGGAGGTACTGTTAATTATAAAGCTCCAGAGCAATTGATTAATTAAGGTTTTAATCATCATTTTACGCCGGCAATAGATGTCCATGCAACAGGAGTACTAATAGCCCATTTAATGTACAAAAAGTAATTATTCTCTAGTAGTTAAGAAAAAGATGTGTTAATTAAATAAATTTAATTTTTTGGATTTAAAAAATATTAAAAATTATCTGCTTATATGAATCAAAATATAGGTTCCACTACTTATAACTAACTTAAGTGATTTTTATTTTTTTATTATATATTATAAATTTTTTAAAAAGTTTAAAAAAAACTGGATTTTATGATAAAATATACAAAAAAAAGAAACAAAATTTAACAGAAGATGGAATTTCTTTATTAAAGGAATTACTTGAAACATTTCCTGTTCTATTAACATTTCCATTTTTTTTATTTAAATATTTTTTTTAATATAGTTTGAAAGAATAACCGCAAAAGAAGCTTTAAAACATAAATATTTTGACCCAATTAGAAATTTGGTTGAATGAAAATTATAAAGAGAAAATAATTAAAAAGATATTTATAAAATTAATATTATATCAATATATATAATATTTTAATATTTAAAGTTAATAATAATCTATTTAAAAAATATATATAATTGAAATAAATTAAACAATTTTTTTTCTAAATATTGTTTAACTAATATATTATACTTAATATTAAAAATTTAGTTTAATTTTTTAATAATTTAAGAGATTAAATAAAACAATAAATATTAATTTATTTTTATCGTCATTTTTTTAATCTAATATTTGATATAACTTCTAAATAATATATATCGTTTTATTATTAAATTTTTTATTTTTTATTTAAGCTTTTCTATTATGTTTAATATCTTATGTAATTAAACCTAACTAAATAATTTATTATTACTCAAGTTTAGTACATTAGATTTCTTTAGCCAATTTTTTTATATACTATTTATAAGTTGATGTTTTATAATTAATTATCTATTGTGTTTTATTTTTGAACCGACTAAAGTATTTTATTTATATTATTTTTATCTAACCTTCAAATTATATTTTAATTATTATATGCTTATTTTTATTATTAGACAACAGAAAATATTTTCAAATTTATTTTTTAAAAATAAAAAAAATCTTGGAAATAATAAATTAAGTATTATTATTAAATTTATTCTTATAATAAATATTAATTTAATTTCAAAACTATTATTCTAAATAATATAATAATATTTAATAAATTCAAACAAAAATTATTATTAAAATTAGATATAAAATTCCTATTAATATTTTTTTTTTTTGAATTCAATAATAAAAATATTATCATTATTATAAATTTAAAAACTATATATATTAAAATTAGTTTTTATTTTTAATTAACATGATATCAAAATAAAGATAATTAAATTTTTATTAATCAAAGTCATTAAAAATAAAAATGTTAAATATAGAAATTAGTTTAAGATTTAATATATCGAATTGTTTTGCTAATTTTCCAATTTTTTAGCTTAAGTTAGGATTCAATAGTTTTTGTAATTTATCTCTAATTTTTTAAAAAGTAACATTCTTTTTTATAATCCATATTAAATTTCCAATAGAATTTTTTAATCTTAAATTTTTTATTTCATATAATTATTTACAATTATAACCTTTATTATTTCCTGATAAGTTTATATCAAAACCTGTTAAATATTATGTAAGTTCATTTTGTATTCTAGTATTGCAGATATATATATTATTATTTATATATATATATATATATATATATATATATATATATATATATATATATATATATATATATATTATTTCTTTTATTTATTTTTCTAACTTTTAATTTCATTAATTATTTTAATACTAAGAATATCTAAATATAAGTTATAGTTCAAATAAAAATGTTATGTCTAATATTATAAAGACTGTATAATTTAAGAAGAATAAAAAAATATAACCTAAAATCTTATAGCATAAACGAAATAGTAAAATATTACTTAACAAAAATAACCTAAAAATTTAAAAACTTAGCTAATTTTAAAAAATAATAAAATAATTTGTATAAGAAGACTAATAAAAATTTACTATAAGAAAAATTAGTATATATAAATACTATTTAAACTAACAGAAAGTAGTAAATATAATAATAATAAGATAATTAACCTTTAATATTCTATCGCAGAATATGGACAAGCGTAATTAAAAGCTCACTTAAAAACTATAAATACCTTAAAAAAAGCTGAAAAAGTAGAGAAAATTAATTATATTTAATATTGTCTCCGAAGTTAAAGAATTAGTTATGACAAATTTTGAAAGAAAAAATCATATAAAAATTTTGAAAGAAAGAATAATGAAATCATATGCGGAATAAGGGATAATTAGTAAGCTATAATATATATTACTTTAAAGAAATTTTTTTATTATTTTTTTTTAAAAAAAGACCATTGTATTTTTATCGCCTATTTTTTTATTATTTCGTTTTAAAATAAAAATAATGTTAAAAAAGTAATAATAATCGAAAAATAAAAATTATTTACTTTTTTAGATAGGTATTACTTCTTATTTATTAAACATTTTAATTTGTATTATTAATAAATGTTTTATATTAAGCAAATTAAAAAATATAAGAGATTATACTTTATTGTATATTTTTTCTTAATTTAAAGCTTTCAGTGGTGTTGAACCGAAAATTATTTCTTTTTTAGTTAATATATATTCCAAAAATATTAAATTATTTTATTATATTTTTATAAGAATTTTTTATTTATTTATAATTTTTATAGTTTTATTAAGAATAATCTTTCATTGAAAATCTTATTATAAATATGCTTTTTTATAGTATTTTATTGAATTATTATTTATTTTATACATATATCATGATCAATTATTTTAAAAGTTTAGTATATCTATTTATAGATCATTAATATCATTTATTTTTTCATTATTTTATAATTTTCTTTTTATTAAAGACGATAATAATTCAATTAGATTCAATTATGGAGTGTTTTTTGGTAATAGTATGCAAGGAACTTTATAAAAAAAATATTTTCTTATGTTAGCGGATTAGTGGCAAGAAGCTTAATCAAAAATATAAACATATTTCTATTTTTATTTTCTTCTGTCTAAATGATTTAAAATATTACTTAAAAACCCCAGAAATATATATTAATTTACGAAACCTTTTACTACTACATAAGACAAAATTTTATAAGGAGTAATTGCTTGAAGTATTGCTATATTATTAGAAAAAATTTTAGTTTATTATATATAATATTTACTCTTTGAAATCCATGCATAACTTTTATTTTAATTTACTTTTACACCAGTTTCGTCAATAAAAATTGGAAGGAATCCATCAAATAAACAACCAATCATTTCAATTACAAAATTATACCTTTAAATCTTAGTTTCAGAGCAATCCATGTCTGGTTTGCATTTATTAACTTTTTTATTATAACTAAGTTAAGTTAAGCTTAATTTCTTAAAAACCTATTCAAAGTGCTTATAGAAAAACTTTTTTTTTATAAATTAAATTTTTTAATCAAATTATTATGAATTTGAGTTAATGTTTAATCTCTTATTATACTTGTTTCTTTGTTTTATAGAATAAATTATTAAGCCTATTAAGGTATTTTAAATAGAGTACCAATTTAAAGGCTTAAAGGTTAATTTTTTTTTTATTCACATTCTTAATTATGTAACCTAATTATATTTAAATTATAAAGTTATATAATAGATTTAGAACTATAACCATTTTTTAACTAGTTATAAGCTATTTAAAGTATTTTTTTTTCTTCCTCTTATTTTATTAGATTATTATTTGGATTTTAAGATTTTTCTTATTTTTCATTATCAGAGCTTATATATAAGATATCGTGAATGGCATTTAAGTATTAAATATTTATTCCTTTTTCAATTTTTTTAAATTACTATAGTTTATATTATAATATAAGTTTTTTTATAAAAAAAAATCTTATTTATTTTATAAAATTATATCATTTTCATTATTGTTTTCCCTTAAGAATATAACTTTTAATATTTATTTTTGTACTGTCCATTTTATTGATTATTATGTTTCGATTATAATTTCTTCATTATCTTCATTTATAAAATTCATTTTATTGTTTGTATTTTATTTTTTTATTAGTATATTTTAAAATAATTGATTATACTCTTTGTATAATTTAAATATTACTAAATTATTTTAATTAAATTCAAAATATTATTCTATATACTAATATAACTATAATAATTTATTAAAAACACAAACATTTTTTAATATATTATTTTAGTTATATACCGTATATATTAATCTTTTTTATAAATTAATTATTTTTATAATTAATTTAAAAAAGTTGACTATAGAAAAAATAAAAACCCTTATGTTATTTATATAAAAATAAATAGACAATATAAAAAAAAAATCTCTTATAGACAAATTAAAAAGTTAATATTAAAATTTTTAATAATTTTCACTGATATATTTGATTAATTAGTTTCAAATATTTATTGAAATTTTCTCGAGAATAAACATGTTGCCCGAAAAATAATGAAATAAAACCAGGAGGAGCAAATACATTCTATAATACTCATAAAATTTATATTTTCAACGAAATTAATAAATGTAATAGAAAGGAAAGTGGATTTAATTCAAATAAATTGCATAGAAAATAATATTTGCTAGATATATTAAATGCAATTGATTTAAATAATAAATTATTTTTATTGTTTAAAAATAAAGCTAAATAATTTACATATATATATATATATATATTTTATTTTATAATTAACTTCGATTATTTATTTTTTTTGAAAATATTTTTCTTTAAAGCTAATTAAATTCATAAAGAATACGTAAATATTATTGAATATATAAATTAATTATATATAGTTTTTTATAAATAATCAAAAAAACAAAAACAATAATGTAAATAAATTATAAATACAAAAAGTTAAGTTATATTATTTAACACTGATATGTTTATATTTTAATAATTAATATTCTTAAAAATTATAAAAACATAACTATTCAGTATATTAATAGAATAAAAATTAAAGAATTACATAACTAAATATTTATTTAAAGTTTTTTGTAGAACTTTTATTTTATAAAATAAGAATGTAAATTTTAATAATAATTAAATATATTAAAAAAAGTATTTAAATATTTTTTGTTTAACTTTAATAGAGATACATTGGATAAATATTTTAAATAAAAACATATAAATATTTATTATTGATATTTGTATAGATTAAACTATTTTTTTATTAAAAATATAATCAATATATATAAAGCCGCAAACGCAAATAACTTTTGAAGATTATAATATAATCAATTCATTAAAAATAATAAACATATATTTTTTTCTTAATCAAAAATAAAAGTTTTTAAAAATATTAATCTTATTACAGTAATCAAACTAATTTAGAACATAATAGAATATATAGAAGATAAATAATCTAAAATAAAATTTATAAATCCTCATTCATATTTTACATACATATCAATATATCAAATCGTTAATTAA